GTATGATCGCGTGGACGCTGCCTCCGTGCTGTTGATGACGGTGATGATGGTCCCGGACGTCAATAGGTTATAGTGTCGAGTTTCACGCCTAGATATCAGAAATGGCCGCGGGTATCTCGTGATGAGGCCGTGATGGACCGCTGGCCGTCGCGTGGCGTGTCCAGTCCAAGGCCCTAATAACAGTGCTACGCGTATACGCGACACAAATATCTTCCTTTTTTGTTTTTCTTCTGGAGAATTATTTCGTTGTTCGAGAGTCTTTTCAACACGATTGATCGAAACCATCAGGCATGTGCATGGCTCCTATGTTAGTATGTAATCACTCATTGAGCTAGGCTATGTTCATGCTCTTCGCTCTGAAAGAAATCGCAGGTCTCTCATAAATGTTAATAATATCATGGCTTTTTATTTTGGAAAGGCTTCCATTACGATTTTTTTTTGTTTCTGTCCCTCTTAATTTCTCTTGGTCAGCTCTCATTTACTGGAAAAGGAGAGTGACCAAACGCAAATCCATCTTGGCACGTTTTTAATCGTACACTTCGGTTTTGAAAGGCCCGCCCGAATATTCTTGTATTTTTGTCGTACAATTTTTTCACTCTGCGGCAGTGCCCTGGGTCCACAATAAAAAAAGGAACGCGGACGAGATCGAGAGCGATCGTAACTCATTGACAGCGCGCCGTCTACAACCAATTAAACCGAGAGTGACACCGTCGCTGCTCCCCAACTGCCCCCCTCTCACCCGTTCTGACGTTGTATTCCACCGCGATGGTGATTACACTTGTATTTGTCAGTCGAGCGTTACTTTTTATTTTGAGCCGTCTGGAATGGAGTCTGGCAAAAGCTCTTCCATAAGAGTAGCGTAGTCGACGAAGCCGTCTCTGTCGCTGCCTCTTCGCTGGACGGCCTGCGCGCTGGCACCGGTCCGTAGGACCCAGTGGAGACCGCGCCGTAAAGGGCCGAAACCTGTACCCGCGGATCGCCCGCTGCTCGCTGACCTGACCGGTGCGCGCGGAGGACCTCGCGACTTGGGTTCGCGGGGCGTGTTCCCGTGAGAGGCTCTCAGGCCGGGGCAGGGCAGGGCGGGGCATTATCATCAGCGATGGCCGTTTTGATGTCCGTATCATCCCGACATCGTCAAGTGAGATGGGAGCCCGAGATATCCAGTAGCCGGCGGCGAGCAGGCCGGGCCGGCCGGGTCGGGCCGCGCGCTGCCCGAGGGGGGGAGCTGACACGCCTGATTTAATTTATTAAATATCGGTTGGGTTGGGGAACTAGCAGTGGTGCTGGTGTGGCCGCTGCTGCTGCGGCTCGGCTCGTCGAAACCAGTTTATTGCTTGTTTTCCTTTTCACCGAGATGGTACAGATTGTGAGTTGCGCCCCTCTGCTCCGACTCTTGCGGGGCGTTTATGTCATGTAGTTCATGTAAAAGCGCGGGACCGTTACTGGAAAGATGAAGGGGCCCCTCTCCTCCGTGGTCGCCGCCGCCGCAACCGCCGCCGCAGCGGGGCGGACCTCGAGGCTGGTCGCTGCCCTCGAGTCGTCTTGTGTGGAGGCCTGGCGTCGTCGTGGACTTTTTGTCTTTCCACGGAATCCGTCGTCGCCATGGGTGACCCTGGGGGTCAGGCCAGGAGGTCCCTAATTAGACCGAGCTGGACTCAATGGGCCATGATGGCTGATCGGCCCGCGTCGGCCTTGCTACCTGGGGCCGGTGGCTGCTGCGACGGCATCCTGGATGATAGGACGCACGACGCCTTGGACGGGGCGACTGGTTCCGTGCACACGCACGGACCTCTGGGTGGTGTTCGACGATGGCCTGTCCCACTCGGCGTCCTGATCGGACGACAAAGGTGATGCTTCACTGTTAATGGCCATAAAAAGAGCGTCCGCTGGTTATTCCAGAAGTCAGATCTGATCTTTAGGTATTCGTTCTCATCAGCGTCCCTCTCGTCTCCAAAAGGCGCTCATTTCGTTGACACAACACACACACACACACACACACACACATACACTCTCACACTCACATGCACTCGCACACTCAAACTCACACACGGGAAAGAGCGCGAGCAAGTTTCCAGGACGGGGGATAAAAAAGTGTTGGTGGCTTAACAAAATAAAACGCAGGAGCTGACCCGGGGGGCATTTTCGCGTGGCGTCAACCGTCTGTGCCCATCTTGGGCGATACCTGTTTGCAACGTTGCAGCCCGGCTACGGCCCTACTGCACTGCGGACCCGCCGCACCGCTTTCTGCAACGAGCGGCGAGCGACTTTGAATGGCGGAGGATTGCGACATAAATCGACGAGCCCCATTTTGAAATTTTATTATTATTTGTCCGTGTGTGCATCTCATTAGGCGGGCTTGGCCCGGGGAGCAGCCTCTCGCAGCGCAGCGCAGCTACACGAGCTGGACAAAGATGTTATCTGCCTACACATTCTTTTCGGTTCAAAGGAATCCGTTTCGCTCGGCTACTTGGGGCCTCCTCTCACTCTCTCCCTGCCCCCCTTCTCCGGTTTGGAGCCCCCGGGCCAAGAAGGACCCCCCCCCCAACCTCCCCGCGTTGTACTTGTCGTGTTCTACAAAGCAGCGCGAGCGATACGTTTAAATTGCTCATGTAAACGAGACAATTATTTTGGGGCACCGCGAAGGGAAAGGCCAGCCAGTCGGGCCGTTGCCTCGCCTGCCCTACCGGCTGCACATTTATCAAAGTTGTTCGAACTTTGACTAAGTCGTTCCGATTCCGACGGCGCTGTAGTTCGATAACGCGGCTCCCGGCGCCACACATTTGCCGCGCTCGCTCGCTCGGCCGGGAGATGAGAAATTCGTAGCAAGACGCCGGACGAAAAGGGGGAGGGGGTATTTTATCTTCTCGTCCGTGGGTTGTGAACATGTAACGCGGGCCGATCTCTGCAGCGAGATAAGTACAAGCACCGCTGAAGTACGGCGAGTTTTTTGAAGTTGCGAGTCGGAAGGGGGAGGCGCTTGGGCGTATGATAAGCAGCCTGGCAATCGGTTGCTTCTACATGCAGAGAGTGTTGGTCGGAGACTATAGTGTCCGGAGCAGTATGGTCCCCGCGGCCCCTTAGCCCCCTACCACCCGGCTCCCGGAGGGGTGTTGAGCCCCGACACGCTGCGGCGGCTAGCTAACACAAGCCCTCCCCCCTTTCCCCCTTTCGCCGTCCATCGCGCTGACGGTTATCGATGGCTGTTTGAGTGAAAGACCAAAAGCCTGCGCTGGCGCCCCGCAGTCCACACCAGATGGATAGGTGCATGACGTGCCTGAGAGAGTGTCTCGCGCACACCCGGCTGCTGGTGCGGAGTGTAGTACACCTTTCCACCCCTTCTGACACTGTTGTTGTTTCTGTTGCAGCACACCGCCGCTGGGGAGGAGGAGCAGGAGGCCGGGTGCCCGGTGCCATGCGGGCGACCCGCGTGCCGGGGCCGAGGTAGGGCCGCCATGAGGCGGGGGGCGGCGCGGCGGGGGCGGGCCGGGGCCCCTCCGTGGGCCCCCCTGCTGTGGCTGGTGCTGCTGCCCGCCGCCCTGGCCGCGCACTGGACGCACTCCGCCGAACTGGATAGAAACTTTTCCGTCTTCTGGACGCCCGGCGAGGACGACATCACCTTCGAGGTGCAGGTCCGGACGCTGGGCTACGTCGGCCTCGGATTCTCCGTCGACGGCAAGATGAAAGGAGCGGACATGGTCATCGGCTGGGTGCGCGACGGGCAGGTCTTCTTTCAGGTGAGTCTCGACTGTCTAAGTGACCTTAACACTAAATATGGAAAATAGAATGCACGGCAAGCAGGAATACGACACGAGTGCGGGGCACACTCGCTGCGCTGGAGCCTGTGTGGCCGCTACCGGAGCGCTGCCGTGCGTCCCGGGCCGCGGGCGAGCTCGGCACACACTGCGCGCCGCACCGCCGCGCGGCTGACAGCTGATCTGATCATGTAAAGCCCGCGGTCGAACACGTCTAATTGAACGGAGCGAAAAGGCAGTAAAGTTTAATTGAATCGGGCCGGGACTGCTGCTGTGGAGCGATGGGCACCACCACCACCACGGCACCCCGGCGGACCCGGCGGTAGCTGTGCCCTCCGAGGAGGGGGGAGCGGGGGGTGATAGGGGATCTGGCCTCCCTCGGCGACCAGGGAATAAGCGGACGAATCCAACGAGAGCGAGCAATCGACGAAAGGATGGAGTGCGAGGGAGGAAGGGAGAGAGGAGCGGGACATGGCAAGGAAACTGTACCAACACTGTACGATGCTGCCCGCATACTGATCGAGATATTTTGCATAGAGTGACAGGGGCACACCTCACTGCACCGCTGTAGCGGAACCGTTAGGTTGGCAGGAGGGGCGGGGCGGGGCGAGCGGTATCGACGCGTTATGTGCGTTGCATCGAGGAGGGGGGAGGGGTGGGGGGAGAGACATACACGGGCCGCCCGAGCAGTCTGTAGAAATTGACCGCTTTCATGGCAGTGCGTTCGATTGTCTCTTGTCAGGAGCGGCGGTCTTTTTGCATGCCGCTCACACACTCCGTTATGTTTCTTCAAATCTGCGTTTCTTAATCTTTTGCGTATTATATGCACTACGCGATCGCGGCATTCAGAATGATTGGGACGGATTTCTCAGAGGGTTTTGTGTTTGCAACAACTAGAGCGACAGCAGCGAGTTAGTAGCGGCCGTTGATCTGAATGTGGTCGGCCCGGCCCGCCCTGGCCGTGTGGGAAAGGTCTTCCGGCGGGGCCGGTCGTGGCGCCGCGCAGATAGCTCGGGGGTCGTCCACTCGGCTGGGCCCCACCCTGCCCCGCCGCGCCGCGGCAGCTTTGCTCTGCTCCGCTCTGCGCGCTGCGCCCAAAAGGTCGCAGTTCAAATCCGTCTTGTCTTGTCACTCGCGAGCGCCCTCGATCGATTTCCTCATCGTGCTTTCTCTTCCTCCCCCTCCCCCCTGCCGTACCTCTCGAGACGGTCACATCCCTCTTTTCCGTGTTGTTGTTGTTTTACCTAATGAGAGGCGGGGGAGCGAGCGGAAACTACAGCAGCAGCCAACGGGCCCGCCTTGTAGGGCAGCGGGTCTATGGGTGGCGTAGTGCAGTGGCTGTGGTCCAGTCCGGCCGGCCGGCGGAGGCTGCTTTGTATCGTCGGCTCTGCAGGTGTGTGAGGAAGATGCGTAGGGCCTTTTCAACAGCATTTTGTTGGCTGTTTTCTGACCAATTTTTTTGCGACGATGTAGAGAAAGAGAGATGGGCGACGTCTCATTCGTCTTGCAAAGATGTAGGTTGAAAAATGAGAGAGAGCATGAGAACTAGCGATGATAATAGCGGCTGGTGGCAAAGGGGTGGGGAGAGACAGAAGACACGGGAGCTGTGGCTGTCCCGCCCATGGCTGGCTCCGGCCGGCTCAGCCCGGCTCGGACTCTCTGACAAAGCTGTCATGGGACCGCACCTCACTTTGGGGCCGTCCGTCTGGCAGACTATAGTCAGCCGGGGCGGGGAGGGGCGGAGCAGGGCGGTCTGCATTGCCCTGTGCGAAAGCTTTATAGCGAAGCCGGGCGCGCTCCAATAAGAGCAAAGCGACGAGACGACGTCGGCGGCGCGGCCGCATGGCGACACCGGAGC